TATTCATGCGAGTTTGATTTTGAGAATGAGAACTGTATCTTGAAAATGATGATTTTCTCGCATGTTTGAAAATGGTTTTAAAAAGGGACTTTATACGGAACACTGGTTGCTAACGGTAGTTCCGTTAGCCCTTGGCGCGCCATGGTACACCTAGCTAGCAGGGTGTTTATAGGAGGTGCTAGCCCCGTGCGATGGCCAACGCACGTGGAACGGAGGGATGGTTATTCGTGAGCATTGTACTCACGTTTGATTTCGTGGCTTTGAGCCGCGTTTGGTTAGTATTACCCTCGTGGACTGGGTGTCCACGTTTGTTTCGTGGCTTCGGCTGCGTTTGGTAATTTACCCTTGTGGATTGTGTGTCCACGTTTGTCTTCGTGGCACAAGCCGCGTTTGGATTATTTACCTTCGTGGACTTTGTGTCCACGTTTGATAATTGTTCTGATAAGTCCCTATGGTTATGAATCTGGTTATTGGTGATTTGATATCCCATTGGTTTTTATTGAGTAATTTATTTACAAGTATTTATTTCCGTTATGAGACTTCTTAAAATCAAGTGAAATTAACATTTGATATGATAGTTCAATAAATTGAGATTTTATTTGAAATTTACAGAGCCATTTTATTGTGAAGTTTATTAAATTTTTATAAAGATTTTGTCTGTTTAACTTACACAACTATTTCAAACTTTTCATTTTATTCATGTGAAATTATTTATTGTTGGGACGTTATTCACTGGAAAATTATTTGGTCTCAGATAGCATAATTGACGCTGTACGTCTTACTTACCAATGACGGATGTTTTCGGAGTGGAGGCTTGCTTTGTAAACATGGCTTATTGATGTAAATATGAAATTTATGTATTATGTCATGAGATATATGATTAGGTGCTCCACATAACTTATAATTAAAATCCTTAGTTTATTATACATTTTGTCTGCTGGCTTGAAGGAGCCGAGTTCTTGATAGATATAATGTTTGAGGAAAATTTTTATGATACAGAATTTTTGGTAGATCTTATTTACAAAGATGGTTCTGTTAAAATTTTTACGAGATGTTGAAATAATTAGTAGTAATAGTATTAAATGTTAGTGAATAATTGAGTACTTTTTTTTGTAATTAAATGAAATAAACCTTGAATTTGTGGCTTACGGGATGTATGTGTGGTTCGCATCCTGTGCCGGTCACCTCCTATTTTGGGGTGTGACAGATTGGTATCAGAGCTTAGGTTTCTCATAGTTATGTGGAGCAAGGACTCTTTAATGGAATCTCAATTATCATTATGAACCCGGGCATAATAATAATTGAGGCATCATTGAAGGCCTTTTAGGAGTGTTGTTGTGTCCTTCTTTCTTTTTGTAAGTCACACTTATTGCATACAAGTCTTATCTATTAAGCTGAACACATATTATGTTTTGTTCTGTAGTGAAACAGTCTATTAGATATTGAATATCAATTAGAAAGATCTATAGAAGAGTTTGATAAAAAAAAGGGGGTGCTTAACTAGGTGTCAAGATTCTTAGTATGAATAAGCCCTCATGGGCTGAGTTTTGGAAGAGGTTGTTTTATTGTAGTTGAGTATTTGCTAAGTGTTGAATTGCTAGTTATTTTCCCTGTTTAAAAGATTGGGTATTGTGTGATTATGATTTGTGTGTTGTGCGAGTTTGTTTTTCTATGTTTGAAGTTTCCTATCTCTACTCTACACAAAAAATAAATAAATAATAATAATAATGGCTAAAGATATTTCAAGAAAGTGATTTAGAAATCATGGTCGAATCTCATGTGTAGTACTTATTTTGGCTCCATGAAAAAAAAAAAACTCAATGATATAATATAGAAGTCATAACAATTATTATCATATTTTTGTCTTATAAGGATCACGTGTTTGTTGATTTCAATTTTACTTTTTGTTACATACCTGAATATTCTTCTATGGTAGCGAGTCATCGTCCTATTAGTAATAAGTGTTTGGGTGATTAATTGTATAAAACTTTTAATATTGGGTATTGATTGAAGGTGGAGAATTTCTTAATGACTTTCCATGAGGCTTATAAGGTTTGTATGATAAAATTATTATAAAAGAGGTGTGAGTAAGAATTATAAAGATCAATTGAGCTATTATTTTGATGAGAGATTTATAAGTTTTGAAACACTACACTTCTACCCAAAAATAAGGCTTGAAGGACAGGGTAGAAATTTAAACTCTTGATTCATAATGATAGTACGAATGAGTGTGTTAGGTGTTAAAATAGGCCATGCATAATGTGACAAAAAGATTTAAAAACTCAAGTAATGAGAGGCTTGAACGATGGCTTAAAGTGGAGGATAGAAGCTAACATTATTTAGTAGTTTGACTTACATATGATTTAATATGTGTTAATGTCATTCAGGTGGTCACCTTAAGCTATAAGGTCAATCTTAAATAGGAAACTAAATTTTTATGTTTTACGAATGGTTAGAAATATGTTTGTGTTAAAGTTTTGCAAGAGAATGTAAATTCAAGTATTTGACCCTTAAAAATAGAACCAAATGAATAGTAAAATATATGTATGTACTTGATGGCCTTAAATGTTGAGTTTGAAGCTGAAATTTGGCATGCATTTAGGGGATATATTGGAGTTTCATTTATTTAAATATGGTAATTTTTGAAGATGGAGGGAATATTTATAAATTTTTTCAGCACAAAAAGCTGCTATGAAACATTTCTGCATAGTTTGTATCGGATTTGGAGTTTTATCATCTTCATGAACTTAATGGACTCTAATGTCTTTGAAATCTTAACAGTAGATAGTGTGTTATTATCTACCTTGAAAATCCTAATTTGTTACAATTGGATATTCTTAATTCAAGTTATGGTCATCTAAAATTTAGGATCAATTATTTGTTCATAGTATGGTAAATTACATGACGAGAGATTAAGATCAGTTGTTCTTTAAATAACTATATTGGTTACCAATAAGATGTTTTAAGCATCATAAGTGAGTTGAAATGGTCTTGTGATAAATAGTGGAAGGTAAAATTTGTAGAGGATGAATCTTGAGAAAAGAATGCTCAAAAGTTACATGAATGTATAACATTCACATGCCTTTAAATTGTCATCAAGGGAAGGGATATTTCAATCTTAGAGAGAGAGAGAGAGAGAGAGAAAAGAAAAGGAATTGTTCATGATAGTAGTGGAATTTTATCCTTTTGCTTCAGCCCCTATAAATTACAATTCTACCCTTATTAGAAAATCAGATTTTCTTACCTTCCCATTTTAATTGTACGGTATACCCATGAGAGATTCATATCCTTAATATATATATATATATATATATATATCCTTTGCCTCTATCCTTTTCCTTTGCTTCTAGAGTGCTTATCGGGGTGGGTGATTCTTTCGCTACGATCTACAATTATTGGGGGTCAAAGTAGTGCACCTGTCTTTTCTGTCATGTTTCGCCATCGTCCTCCCCGCATCTCGTCATGAGAACTTCTTCTCCCTTTTTCTCTGTCGTTGTTTATCTAGCTTGAGGAAGCTTGAGGTTCTTCTCCTAATTCCATGCTTCATGTCCTCTAGATCTTTCCCTTCCTCTTTGATTTTCTGCCGCTTCAATTTTTTTTTAATCTTAATTGCTATGTTGTGACAATGTTAGAAGGAAGTTTGTTGGATTTGTAGGAAGCCTAATAAAATTCTATCATATATTATAAGGAGATTGAAAGGGGAGAGAACTTGGTTTTATAGTCTAAACAATAGTGCTTGTAGGGCATCTACTAATATGTCTATTAAAAGAGTTTTGTTTAGTTATGATTTTTTTTAAAATTTCATTAACTCTCATGAGGATATACTTTGTTGAGGGGTTAATTATTCATGAATCCGATTTGAATTTTTGAAGAGTCTTGATTGTGAGGCTATTATGAAACAAACTGGACTTTGGAAAATGTATAGGCAATTATCATAATTATGTTGTTTTATGACTTGATTTTGGGAATGTACCTAAGGTGCTTGTTAAAATAGGTGATGGAAGAACTTTGGAATTTTAGAGTGATTAAGGGTGGTGTGTATGTATTACACTCTTCATTAAAGTTTAGTGATGTGTATTAGAGAAATATTGGAAAGAGAGATTAAAATGTAACCAAAATGTTTGATATAAAAGCATATATATAAAGAATTGAAGAGATTGAAGAAGTTGAGGCATAAATTATAGTGTATTGAGAACTTTGTTGATTATGGTGTTGCTAAGAAGGAAGTTTATCAAACCTAGGTAAAGGCTATCAAAATCTTGTGTGGACAATTGATGTCAAAAGCTAAAGTTTATAATTGGGGAAAGGAAGTATTCTTTTTAAGGTGTCTTCTATGAAAGACATAATGAGATTTGGCAAAAAAAAAAATAAAATAAAATAAAAAATGCAAGTTGAGTTCAAAGTATGTTGCCTCGTTTACTTAGAGAGGGTTGGTAACATTGTTTATCATTCAGTACTACTACTTGAATTATTGAGTACCTACCAAAGGATTAATGTGTTGATGCTTTGGAAACATATATATATATATATATATATATGATGCATCTCATATGATCAAGACTCAAAGAATTTAAATAAACCTATATTTATTGAATGAAAAGGTTCTTACGAGCATTTTGATAACCAAGTAAAGCTCTTATCAAGAGAAATCGCTATAATGAAAGTGTGATGGTGCTATCATTCTTAGTAAGGATTTAAAAAGGAAGTTGAAAGTATAATGTGTGCTAAATATCCACATTTAATTGAAAATTGAGAAAAGCATTATTTTAAATTCGGAGGACCGAATTTTTTTAAGGTGGGGAGAATGTAATAACCTTAAAATTTTTTTTTCAAAAAAAAAAAGGAAGAAGATAAATTAAATGATTTTTTTTATTGTTTTAAATATATAATAAATAGGGAGTAATGATTTAGTGGGAACTATGGTAATTTGTTACTTGGAGGTAGGAGGTTCGAATCTTACCTATATTAGAGAAAATTTCATTTTTGTTGGCATCGAATGAAGTTACCAAAATGCCCTTACCTCTTGTGTAATTTTAGAAAATATCTATAGGGTTTCTTGTAATTTTCCCTAATAAACATTATCTCTTTAAATTTCTTTCCCTGGTCGGTCAAGAACAGAGCACGAGGGGAGAGAGGGAGAGAAATTCTGGGTCTAGAAATTTCGAGCTTCTCTGTCTTCTCCATCGGTCTTCCTCATCCTTCCTTCTCCAATGTTCTTCCCGTGTCACCGGCGATCGTGGATGCTCAGCACTGCCTTGCAAAAATGCCCAGGTTCTCCATGATTCTTCTTATCTCTGTTTTGTTTTCCTTGCTGTATCTACGTCGTTGGTGTGCGTAAAAGGCTGAGTTTCTGGAGGCTGTGGACGGTTGGAAACGTCCTTCTTGTTCTTTTGCTGTCAGTGTGTCTCTGTAGGTGCTGCCATTAGCGAGTCCTTCTTCATGCTCTCTGCCTCTGTTCCTTTTCTTTTTCGTGCTGCTGTTCTATCTTGCTGTGCACATCTGGGTCGTTGGCTGATGGAAGAAATCAGGTCGCTGGAGTGGGTGTACTGATCGCCAATCCGAATCAGCGCTGAGTTCCTTTTTCTTCTCGTGAGTGATGCTCTGTTTTCCTTCTTTTTGGTTCAGACAAATATCTTATCTTCTCTCCCTATTCGGTTGACAGCCCCTTGGTTTCTTCCTCCTTTATTTTGTTCGTTTGTGGTTGGGAAGTGAAGGAAGAGCTGATATGGTGCTGTGGAAGGATTAATTTGTGGGTTGAGGCAGAAATATTGCTATATTCTTCTTCCCCTGTTCAGTTGTGGATTCAGTTTTCTTCCTCCCTCTGTGTGTGTGCACTGTCGGCTAACTAAGGTGAGAACTCTTCAGCTTTCTTCCTTGATGAACTTGCGTGAGAGGAAGTGTGAGTTGATATTGAAATTACAGAATTTTTTTAGAGTATTCTACTGCTGTTGCTCGTGCTGTTGTGGGAGCTAGAAAGTGATTTCCAAGGCTTCATTATATATATATATATACACACATATATATATGGGTCTGGATTCTAATCTGAATTAAATTTTGTTAGATTGGTTGATATTGAGAATTTGACTAGAATGAGAATTAATAAGAAATTAATTTGAAATTATAAATTAAGATTTGATGTTTACAAGTTGTTAGATGAAATGTCTGTTAGGTGGAGTCTACTTGAATATGTATTTTTTTGAATGTTTACTAAAAAAAATTTTTAGCATACTTGGTATAGGTTATTGATGTATTAACTTGAGATTTGAGGAAGAATTGATTAGCTAAGCTCTTGAGAGTCTAATGGTTGATACTTACAAACCTTAGTGTTGTTGAATTATTTAATCTTGATATGCATGAAAGATGTTCGATGACTTGAGAGAGTAAATGTGGGGGTGTGTGTGTATTTAGATATGTTTATACGCAACCTGATTAATGTTTGGTTACATAATTTAAAGAATAGTTGGGAAAACAAATTAAGATATAAGCAATTTGTTGGATGGGAAGTAGGCATGTAAAGTATTCAAAGGATGGAAGAAATTAAGATTTGGTTGATTAAATTATAATGATTTGAAGTCAATTCACTATAGTGTTTTCAATATTAGAAAATAACTTATTTAACTAAAGTAAGTCCATTAAATCTTTCTTTATATTGAATAGGATGCTAAGAGAAAGGAGGAGTTGATTGAAGTTCTAAGAAATGAATTTTGATGCTCGGGCATATTATAGGTAAGTGGATAGCGTCCCAACTGCATTATCATAAAAATTAGTTTCTGAAATATTATATTTATGCAAATCATTTTAATGACAATTATGTTAAGTATTGAATATTTTGTCATTTAAATTCTTATTTTGGGAAATTATAAAGAAGTTTTGAAAGATAATTGAGTTATGGTATGCGTATGTTTTTTTTATAATGAATACTTTTAAAAAAATTGATGAGATTATTTTTTATCAACCCTGGTTATTCTGAGTTATGCAATAAATGCCAAATATGGACTTCAGATATGAAATTTTATCGTGGCATGTTTTAATGCTCAAAAGTATTCATGCGAGTTTGATTTTGAGAATGAGAACTGTATCTTGAAAATGATGATTTTCTCGCATGTTTGAAAATGGTTTTAAAAAGGGACTTTATACGGAACACTGGTTGCTAACGGTAGTTCCGTTAGCCCTTGGCGCGCCATGGTACACCTAGCTAGCAGGGTGTTTATAGGAGGTGCTAGCCCCGTGCGATGGCCAACGCACGTGGAACGGAGGGATGGTTATTCGTGAGCATTGTACTCACGTTTGATTTCGTGGCTTTGAGCCGCGTTTGGTTAGTATTACCCTCGTGGACTGGGTGTCCACGTTTGTTTCGTGGCTTCGGCTGCGTTTGGTAATTTACCCTTGTGGATTGTGTGTCCACGTTTGTCTTCGTGGCACAAGCCGCGTTTGGATTATTTACCTTCGTGGACTTTGTGTCCACGTTTGATAATTGTTCTGATAAGTCCCTATGGTTATGAATCTGGTTATTGGTGATTTGATATCCCATTGGTTTTTATTGAGTAATTTATTTACAAGTATTTATTTCCGTTATGAGACTTCTTAAAATCAAGTGAAATTAACATTTGATATGATAGTTCAATAAATTGAGATTTTATTTGAAATTTACAGAGCCATTTTATTGTGAAGTTTATTAAATTTTTATAAAGATTTTGTCTGTTTAACTTACACAACTATTTCAAACTTTTCATTTTATTCATGTGAAATTATTTATTGTTGGGACGTTATTCACTGGAAAATTATTTGGTCTCAGATAGCATAATTGACGCTGTACGTCTTACTTACCAATGACGGATGTTTTCGGAGTGGAGGCTTGCTTTGTAAACATGGCTTATTGATGTAAATATGAAATTTATGTATTATGTCATGAGATATATGATTAGGTGCTCCACATAACTTATAATTAAAATCCTTAGTTTATTATACATTTTGTCTGCTGGCTTGAAGGAGCCGAGTTCTTGATAGATATAATGTTTGAGGAAAATTTTTATGATACAGAATTTTTGGTAGATCTTATTTACAAAGATGGTTCTGTTAAAATTTTTACGAGATGTTGAAATAATTAGTAGTAATAGTATTAAAATGTTAGTGAATAATTGAGTACTTTTTTTTGTAATTAAATGAAATAAACCTTGAATTTGTGGCTTACGGGATGTATGTGTGGTTCGCATCCTGTGCCGGTCACCTCCTATTTTGGGGTGTGACACTAACGTACATGGAATGGAGGGATGGTTAGTTGTGAATATAGTACTCACGCTTTATTTCATGGGCCTTATGCTTGTGCTTGTTTTTATGGCTTCAAGCTGCTTTTTAATTATTTATTCTCATGGATTATGTATTCATGCTTGGTAATTGTTCTAATCAAATCTACTAACAGTGAATTTTGGAAATTAATTTTTCTTAAAATTTGATTTTTTTAAAGCAAACTATTATTTTTACTATATTTGAATTTATATATTAAGCTATATATTTCCTAAAGTGTTTTAACATGTTGATGTTTAAAGTGGATCTTGAATTTCTAATAAAATTGTAATTGAATTCCTACATTTATAGTTTTTGCATTTACATAACTGTTGATATATATATATAGGAGGTATGTGCTATATTATTTTCAATTGATTATTTTATTAAGTTTATAAGAAACTCATTGTTGTATCTTCCATTATTTTCACCAATTGTAATTGGAATGTTAGTCACTAGAACATTATTTTTTGTCTCAAATAGTGTAGCTAACATTGTACGTCATGCTGACTACTGAGGGACTTTTTGTTGAGCAAGGTAAAGATTTGTTTATAAATATCTCTTATGATGTAATTACAAAATTTTGTATTACATTTTCAAAATATGGTTAGGTCCTCTATAGTAGCTACAGTTAGGGTCTTTATTTAGTCATATACTTTGTCTATTAGCTAGATAGAGCTATGCTCCTGATTTTAGTAATATTTTGCTTGTAAAAATTACATTGTAGGATTCTTGGGAAGTCATGCTTATAAGGAGGTGCTATCAAAATAATTAAAAAATATTAATTTTTTTAAAGAAATTAATTATTACCCAAGATTTCCTAAATTCAATATAAATTGAATTAAGGCTCAAGGGATATGCGTATTTTACACATGACCCATGCCAGTCACTTCTATATTTCAAGGCATGACAAGCATCACCCAACCAACTTTCCCTATTAATAGGATAAGATGGGGAGAACTTTTGTTCCTTTCTTTGTTTACTTTGGCATCTAATATTCTTTCTTGTCTTTCGGTTCATAAGGAGCAATAAGGCAGCATTATAGGTATAAATATGAGCCAACAATCCTACTCAGTGTCTCAACTCTTGTATGTGAATGATTCTAGCATTTTCTTTGAATACACAAGAGATGGTCTTGAGATGCTAAAAGATGTTTTCAAACTTTTAGTGCTTGGCTTGGTCTACAAATTAATTTACAAAAGTCTTCTCTCATTCTCAGCCCTAATGTGCCCCCACCATTGTAATAGGAAATTTCAAGTTCTCCTAGGATACAACTTTCTAACTCATATGAGAAACATTTTGTAGCCTGGATTAATGCCAGAAAAAAAAAATAAACCTAGAATTTTTTGAACAAATAATGGACTCTATTGACAAAAGAATTTCTTTATGGAAGTATCATCTCATTTTGATCAAATCAATACTCTCTACCTCTAAAATTTACACCCTCTCTTATATCTAGATAATCTGTAAGAAATACTTCATCGAAAAAATCTAGTTATTTTCATGACAAATTTGTAATCTAATGGATGCTAAACTAGTGGATTTCTTTTGGTGTTACAATGAGACAAAAAGAAACATTCATCTTACTAAAACATATTTATTATTTTCTTCCAGCAAGGATGGAGGGCTGGATTCACGTAATACCAAACATATGAATATGGCTATATTAGCTAAGTGAGTTTGGAGAGTCACCACTACAATAGAGCATTCCCTCTTGGGAAACACCATTAAGCTTAAATATCTCTCTAATTTTGATAGTTGCACCTTATAAATGCCTCATAATGCCTCATGATACTAGAAAGGTATTTTCAAATCTACTGATTTCATTAAAAAGCATCTCCATTGACAAGTTAGAAATAGTGAATCCATAGCTTTATCTCATAAATATTAGTGGAAGCTCTCCAATAGGGAGTTGGTTTAATATTTGAAATAAGAGGGAATAATTGGCTTTAAATTATAGTATAAAAGACTTCAATAACCCATTCTTAATTGTTTTGAATGAAGAAATCATATGCTAAAAGGAGCTATCACATTAATTGAAAAAGAATGTAAAACTGTCCAAAGTTGTCACAAAGTCAAGACTTTGTTCATGACTTTTGACACTGTCAAAAAAATGCAGTGTTTTATTAATTTGAAATTTCTTAGGTAGGACACATATATGCTACTAGCTTGACCTAGAATGCATTCTACACACTTTGAGACACATTTAGAGCTTAGTTGTTCAAGAGTTTGGGCATTAGAAGATATTAGAGTAAGGGAATAGGAATTTTGAAGACATTTGGAGGAGCTCCTTTTCTTTAGTTTTTCTATTCCTCTTCCCTTTCCTCTCTTATATTTTGATATGGGTATAAATATTTTGTGTGTTTGTATCCTTTGGATGATTATGAGTAGCTAAACACTTTGTTCTAGAATTATTTGAAACCCTTGTATGGATTAACACCAATTTTCTTCTCTTTTTTTTGTAATTAATGATACTTATGTGCTTATTTTACTCTTCTCTTAATGGTTCTAAGTGTTTGGCCACTATTTGGATGTTGGGTTCACTTGAGAGAGCTAGTTTGGGTGTAAAAGTTAGGTAAAATAGTGCAAGAACTTGAAATTTACATGTTAAATGGATGGTTTTGTTAGTAAGATAGAGATATAATTCCTAGCCTTGTATAGCCATATTAGGGTTGGAGCTTAAAATAGGATTTTATTAATTGTAACAAGAGATTGGATAACTAATTTAACCAAACACTTGTGCATGATTTGATAGAGCTTGTTCAAGTATTTTTAGAATCCTATGTTAGCATTTATCTTCATTAAAAGCATTTATGAGAGGAGGTAATTTTAGTGTGATGAGATACAAGGGAGATAAATAATTCTAGGTTTCAATTTGTGCTTGAAGTTTGTGAATTGTTTTCTTTTCTCTATTTTCTCATGTTATTGTAATTCACAAAATTAACTTTCTCCTATAATTGTGTTTAGCTCAACTTTATTAAATTTGCTAAGTCTTTACTAGATCATTATTTTTAAACAAATCTCCATAGGAATGATCTTTTTCTCATAATATATTACTTGTCATTGCTCGTGCACTTACGGAGAGTGCAATAAAGGTCTTACCCTACATAAGCTGTCGTTCTGCTATCTTTGCCTCATTCACGCTAGGGTACTCTTAGAGAGCTTGGATTTCAAGCTGACAATAGTGGGACACTAACGGTGAAGGAGTTTTGGCAAGGTGACATGAAAAATATAGATGGCATTGAGTTGAAAAGGTGAAGGGAAAATGACAATTAAGTCCCAAAGGGACTAGTTAAATTTAGTCAAGTCCTAAGTAATTTTAAAAGGCCAATCAAGTCCCATACTTTTTTTCACAAATTTGAGTTATAGTATAAATGACTAAAATGCCCCTATGATTAAATATAACATCAATACTCATCATATCAGCTCCAACATTTCCCTTTCGAGCAAACTCCTTCCCACCATTAATGAGACCTACATGTAAGTAAAGGAGAGACTTCTTTTCCTTATTTGTTACATTGATTATTGTGTAACTAGGAATTTTTATATTAATTTTTTTTCATGACTCTGGTATAAATTAAACTATAGGATGAAAGTGTAGTTAGGGATCACTCATACACTATACAAAAACCCAAGAAAGATTTTTCTTGAAAAGTTGATAGGTGAACATAGCAAGCGAGACCCAACTTGGTTAATTCCATCAGAGAGCTTTCCTATGGTCAACCAATCAAATGAGCTTGTCGCTAGGGCAGAGAAGGGAACTTGTCATAGAGAAGAGAACGAGCAAACTTAGCTCTTAGTAGCCAAACTCATAAATTGAACAAGGGTATTTCAGTCTTTTCTTGTTATATCAAAATACCACTTAAGGACTCTAGGACTTCATTAGCCTTTTAAAATTACTTGAGAACTGACTAGCTTTAATTAGTTCCTTTGAAACTTAATTGTCATTTTCCCAAAGGTGAATGAATGTGGGCCCCACACTTATGAAGAAATAGCATTAGTTGAAAACAAATGGAAGGTTTTATAAATGATGAATTTCTTTACACCACCTCATATGGTATGAGATATTAGATGTTCTTTGAAAAATGGTTCATTAATAAATTTACTCCTTTATACTTAATATTTTACCATACTACTTTATTCATTTTATCAACATTTCTATAACTCAATGGTTATCTAGAAGGACGTAATAAATCCATGAGGACAGCACTGTATGCTCCTTCTAGTCTACAGTCTGCCTTCCAAAATGATTCTTTAGTTTTTAATATAAAACATTTGATGATGTATTAATTATATTTTGTTAATATTATTTCTATTTAAGCTCATTTAACCATGAAAAAAAAATGTAATGCAAATTTGAACATTTTTTATTTAACTAGGGATAACATTAAAATTTTATTATATTTTCATATCAAAAGTAATTATTTAATTAACTTTTCTTGATTCCTATGAGATAGTTAGAGGTGCTTTATACTAAGGATTGGAATGAGTAAATTGCAATACTTTACAATACTGTTTAAATTGCTTTCTTAAAAGAAAAAATCTAGAAGGACATAATAATTGTATTTTCTCACAAGTAATGTTATGTGCCTTGGCCTTTGCAAGTTCTGCTTCCATTCATTCATTAATCTAAACTACTTCCATTCAAACACCATGTTTCTCAATAAATGGAGCTGACGCAAACAAGCAAAGTGAGCATCCCAATTCCTAATAATTTGGAAATTTTTTTTTTTAAATTTACCCATATATTACTCTCTTTGTCTCTACATGTAGGATATTTTCTAAATAATTTTTTTATCTCTAAATATAAAAAATATTATGATATTTTTTAGTAATTAGATAATGTTGCCTTTATGTTGAAGAAATGAAAGAAATATTAACTATATGCATTGTCCACCACCATCAAGATATTAATTGACATTATTAGTGAAAAATTAAAAATTATTGTGATTTAATGTGATTTCAATTGAATAACAAATTTTTATTATTATGCAGATTTTGGTTAAAAATAATTTATATAGAGACAGGAAATAATTAATGAGTATGGAAAATATAATCTAATTTAAATTTAATACTGAAAAAATGGGTTGCAGGCTCGTCTGTGACCAGCCTATTACGAGCTTAGAAAGCCTGGTCCAACCTGTACATGTGCGGCGCTGCTGGCCCTCAAAATATTGGCCTTGTTCTGCCCTTAAAAAAAAAAAAAAAAAAAGTGGAATAAAGACTTGTAAGGCTGAAGTACCCCCCTTTTTTCACACATTTCATGCATACACAATACTCCCTTCTTCACAAATTATAAAATAATTTTAAAAAAATTATACAAAGTAATAAAACTTAATAAATACACTTTCCAACTTTTTTTGTTAAAATAAAAACATACATTTTAAAAAACATTCTTAATTTTATGCTTCATTTATGAAAGAATATTAGAGAGAAAATATAACGGCAAGGACAATATTGAAAAAACATCATCAATGAAGTTTTATTTTTATCAAATTGTCTTATATTTAAAATGCCAAATATCTCTAAAAATGTCTTATAATTTGGAATTAAGAAAGTATATAGTTATTTATCAGAATTTCTATGAAAAGGAAAGGAAAGACGAGAGGGGGAAAAATGAGAAGTACGCAGCTAATACTTTTCTTTAATGTGTATATTCACCACAAATGCTAACGTTAGGAAAAACAAAGAGTTTCTGAATGTAGAGGATGTGAACAAATTTCATCGGCACTATGGATTTGTTCTTCAATATTCTACGTTAAGAAACCCAAAATTTTTTTTATTGGCCTATTTGCAGTTGAAAATAATTAGATATGCTTTTGTGCACAAGAACTAGATCTGTGTCATCGTTAGTCTGGAAATAGTGCTGGAAATCAACTCAATCTCAGTGAAAAAAGTAATATTTGAACAATAGTAGCCACAACATTATAATAATCTTCAAAATACAAAGCGATATGAAGGAAAGGAGTCAGGGTACCACATTTCCTACTAGGTGTTATAAAGGATATGAGGCCTTTTTTCAGTTACGTACCACTATTTGCTGACTAGTATAAAACAAGTATTAACTCCTTCAAATTTTGTGTCAATGATAGTAAAAGTCGAATTCATTCAAGTTGTGCGATACTTTAAGCTTATATATACATATATATATATATATGGAGAGAGAGAGAGAGAGAGAGAAGAGAAAAGGAAGCCACTTGAGACATAATTTTATTTAATTTAGACTTCAGCAACAGATGGAGAAAAGGAAGGCACGTAGCATTATATTATTTCATTTATTCTTCGATAAGTGCAAGGAGTTTTATAGACTGCTTGCATCATGCAGTGGCTTCACCATTTCGATAAAGGAGGCTCTTCATTAAGCAGATGATTCAGCTCCGCGAAACACAACATGGAAAGGAGCGTCATCGTCAATAACCAAACGCCTGTGTCCTTTCCCATCCTTGGAAATCCCAACAGCACCACAAGAATCTTCATCAGTGGGACAGAACACCATCTTATAGATACCTCGAACTGTCGACGTCTGAATTTTAAACCAACCACGCAGGGTGTTTTCGTACCCTAAAAGTTTCACTTCCTTTGTCTCATCTTCTCCTCGAACAATCGTCCATTTTGCCGGTGTGTCGGCACACTTTGGCGGTGCAACGACCGTGAACTCCATAATGAAATTTGTGGGGAGATAAGCGATTCTGTATGGAGAAGCAAGTCTGGTGGGTAAACCGTTGGATAGTTCAGAGCTTTTCTGAACAACGGTAAGAGGGCAAGATTCATTGCCGGTAGCAGCGAGACCCACACCGCCGCCGTGTCCCCAGAGGGCTGGGAGGATGTAGTATGAGCCGCCATTTCTGACGGGGTTGCCTTCAGTGTCAACCACAAAATCAGCTTTGGCTGAGGCGAAGGCGAAGACAAGGAAGAGGGCAAGAAAGGTGGTCTTCATTGCTTAAGATGATTTCGCTACGTGCAGAGGAGGTTTTTTCTGTGTGATGGAAACGAGAGGATGACAGGTTCTATTTATAGACACACTAGATGATTTAGAGGGGTAGTTTGGGCATTCACTTATTATTTACCATATATTTATCAGCTAATTAATTGATTTTTCCGCTTCATGATTAGGGGGCAAAAATAAGATAAAGGGCTGAGAGAGTCACAGCAGAGATGTGCTAGTTATTAATTAATCTTTTCAAATTAGTTATAGGTCGCTCAAGTACGTGGGAGGGTAGAAACAAGTGGTGCCAAGAGCCTTAAAGCTAAATTGGCGCCCCACGCAGTTCCCTCAAAAGGGGTAGGTTGTGGGATCAAGCTCCTAAATGGTATGGGAGATTTTTATTTATTTATTTTTTTTTTTTTTGGGGTGGGGGGGGGTGCCTTTCGTTTGGGGAAGGATTAGCTTAGGGTAAGCACAAAAAAGGAGAAACAAGTGGCTCAATTTTTTCTTTTAAAAAAATGAGAAAGGGCTAAAACTAATGGAAAGATATTACATTATAACTCAAAATCTCAATGTTTTACTTTCATTTATGAGTCTTTTCATTTTATTATATATTATTTATTTAACTCAATTTTATTTGATATGAAACTTTTCACACCATCTTAAGTCTGTTTATACTTGAACAAAACTAATAAGATAGGTTAAGAGTATAACATAATTTATGCACTAATCAATGAAATCACAATATCTAATACATTTTTAATTCTTCTCCTTCTTGTTCTCCTTATAAAACCAAAAGAGAATGATTTTTTAATTTTTTTAGAAATTATATCATTAATTTTTTTTATCACAAGTTAACCTTTTAACCTTTCCTTAAATGTTGATTATAGAAATTAAGTATATTTAATAAGAATAAAATTGAAAAAAAAATTAGACAGAATTAATAAATTTTAACATTTTGCTTTATTCATGGAAAAGTATGTTAGAAGTGGTGGGACCCGAGAAGTACATGTACGTTTGGCTGCAACATGACCCGTATGAAATATATTATTTTAATAACACAACGAGAATGGTGCCAATTTTCATCAGCGCTCTCTGTTTTTACAAATATGATAAAAAAAGACCACGTTTTTTTTAAGGAGAGAGAGAAGATATTTTATATTTTATTCGTAAAAATGGAGAGACAGAGGATGAAATTTTATATCAAAAAATTATCACTATGTTATTAAAATAATCCATAAAACAAAAGCAACCGGCTAAGTTAACATGTAGGATAGAAATTTACTTTCATATCATTGTAAATTGAAGGAAAGCAAGAAATTTCATTAGAAGTCTGGAATTAAGCCCTAGTAATTGAAGATGAGGAGGAATTGATTTTTGTTACGTGGGAACATTTTAATTATATATATTCTGCTTATCAGGTACAAGATGTTTATCAATTGGTTAATGAACTCAATGACTTCTACATAATAGAGTTGAGTGATTCAAAATTAAAGCTTCCTATGTCTCCTGTCACAAGGATGAAGTGTAAATTAAAATGGTGTGTTCGATCTCTCTAAGAATAGCTCACCAGGGTTGGATGGTTTCCACGCCAAGTTCTAGCAAACCTTTTGGCACATTGTTGGAGACGATATCTTTTCCATGGTTTCCTCAATCTGGTATTCAGAGCATCTTCTATATCACTCTAATCCGAAAAGACATATGACAAGAACTTTCATGGACATCAAGCTGATAAGTCTATGCAATGTGGCCTATAAGTTTATTTCCAAAGTCCTCAATAATAGGCTCAAGTCTGTGTTACCAAGACTTAGCTCACCTTTCTAAATTCCAATGTGCCTACCTACCCAATAGACTTATCTCTAATGGAATTTTGGTAGCGACAGACTTGGTCCACCAAATTCATTCAATAAAAGGGGAAAAAAAAAAACGGGAAGACGTTAAGAGCTCTTAAGCTTGACATCTCCAAAGCTTTTGACTGGCTCTCCTGGGATCTCTTCAAACCTATACCAAAGAGGATGAATTTTCCAGACAAATGGATTAATTTGATTCTATAATGTGTACCAATAGTTGAATACCTCATCATTTTCAATGGTAAAATTACCCAACCAAAGTTCCCTACTAATGGGATAAGATAGGGAGATCCTTTGTTCCCTTTTTTGTTTATTTTGGCATCTAATGTTCTTTCTTGTCTTTTAATTCATAAGGAGCAACAAGGCAACTTCATAGGTATAAACATGAGCCAGCAATGCTACTCATTGTCTCAACTCTTGCATGCAAATGACTGCCATATTTTTCTACAATTTTATATGCATTTTGGTGAAGTTGTGCATACTTTTGAAACATAAAATAGGAAAATGTGCATATCTTATAGTTGGGCTTAAATGACAAAATTTTGGTCTAAAATGAGAATATTTTTTTATCTTGATTAAGATTGAACTTGGATCTCACAAAATTACTTGTCTTTTTAGGTTATTGGAGCATTAGTTGAGAAGCAAAGAAAGCGTCATGCTCCAAAATTAGATGTAATCGACACGGGATATATGTAGAACACATATCTCTCAAGCCTTAAATCAAGTAAAACATTGATTTAATACAATTGACGCTTTATTGTACATACTAATACTACTTCTTTGCATAAACCAAAACTATCAAACTTTTTGTAGAAATTTTGGTAGCACCTCCTTTATAAATCGGACCTTCCAAAATCTTTATAATGGATATTTTACAAAACAACAATTAGAGTATTGAGTTCCACTTCTCAATAGCAGACAAACAACATAATAAGAGATCAAGACCCTAGCTAAAGTCAACTTGGAGCACCCTAAATTGTATTTCCAAAGCATAATGCATAGATTTCAAAAATTACATCAAAAGGAAGGTGTTTTCAAAATAAATTTTATTTAATTTTAATAAAATATGTTGAAATGATAGGAATAGAGGAGTACAACTTACTTTTATGGAATATATTATATTAATAATACAGTGAGTATTGTGCCAATTTTGATCTTGTCTCTCCATTATTTTACAAATATGAGAGAGAAAGACCATGTTTTTTTAAGTAGGAGAGAGAGAAGATGAAATTTCATATGGCACAATTCCCACAATGTTATTAAAATAATCCATAAAATAAAGGTAACCATCTAAGTTAACATGTAGGATAAAAATGTACTATGAGATTATGTGATTTTCATTGGGCACTATATTAATCTCTAAAATTTCACTTCCTTTTAGCATATTTTTCTTAAATTTTAATATATGTTGTCACAATTGTACATATTTTGATTATTAAATTTAGAAAAATGAATATCTTATGTTGGTTTGCACACTTAGCTTTATTTTATTATTTTTGGGTTTGATGGAAAACATTTATGGACCCTTGATGATGCTTTTGGAAGGATTTTAGATGAAGAAATCAAGTGTAAAGATTATTAGTTTAGTCAATTGGGAGAAGTGTGAAAGATTGGCCAAAGTCACACTTACTTTGTGACTTTCAATGCTATCATCAATTAAATGTTGCCTTTTTGTTTTGCAGAAAATGAGTAGGCACAAAACATCTATGTGGCCTTGCTCAACTACAAACTCATTCTATAGACTTGAAGACACGTTTGGACTTTGGTTGGACTTGGATTTGAGTTTTGGATAAGTTAGGATCAAGTATTGAAGCTTTGAAGACATTCTAAACTCCATTTCTTTGGCTCATTTCTTCTCCATTTTTTCTTCTTGTAATCCAAAATAGTTGCCAATATTTTGTGTATTTGTAGCTTCTTAATGATTATGAGTAGCTAAACTCTTTACCCTAGGATTATTTTGAACCTTTATATGGATTAACAATTATTTTCTCCTCTCTTTTTTGTGTTTGATGATGTGTGTGTGTGTGTGCGTACTTTATTTTACTCTTTTCTTAATGCTTTTAAATGTTTGGCCATCATTTACTTGATTTATTCACTTGTTTGATGGTTAAAAAGGGCAGTCTGAGTGTAGAACTTTGATAAAATAATGCAAGAACTTGAAGTTTGCATGATGAATGAATGTTTTTGTTAGTAAGATAAAGATATACTTACTAACATTGCATGACCAAATTAGGGTTGAAGCTTAGAATTGGGTTTTATAAATACTAACAAGAGATTAGGCAATTAATTTAACTAAACACTTGTTTATAACTTGTAAGTTTCATATCAACCACAATTCTCTTATTGTCTCTATATGTTTTTCACACATTCTGAAGCTAAGTTTTACTATCATGATATTGTAGTTTTAAAAGTTATTAAAAAATTTTATATCAAAATAAATGAATGTAATCAGTGGTACCAATATTGACCACTTCTTTGCTTAGTAAGAGAGGTGGTGAGATTGAGCTCCATATGGGCACGACCATTAGGAAGGTTAATTTGGAATGATTTTACTATTAGGATGCCCATGCCTAAGTAAATTATGCTCGAAAGGGTCTTACTCTACACCTTGGGGTAAACTCTAAGAAGAGGGAGGACGAACATCCATATTCCAAAGTCTATTCACTAGTACTAATATCAAATACCTATGTTCAACTTGTTCTTCCTAACTTTTAAGAAAGAATGCCAAAATTATTCTATGAATACCAGTATTTGTACTCCAAATTTTAAAAAATGTTAAGTAAATACTGGAATGGGTTAAGAACACCAAACTTATTGATTCTTCAAATATATTATCTTTCAAACAATAAAGCTAATGGATTGTGGTTGGAGTAGTTGTCAGGCTAATGATAGATTTGGAAAGTGAGGGTAACCTATCTTAGCCTATAAATGTAATTATTAGAGTTGTAATTTGATTATTAGTGTCTAGCCTTATATATTAACTATGTTCAAATCCATTTGATCTAGTGGAGGCTAAGGGAATAGATAATTGACATGGTGATATTTTTTTTTTGTGACATAAAGGTTAAGGTAATCAAATAATCTAATCTTTTTACTTGTTGTTTAGACAGTTGAGTGTTTGTGAAATTATATTCTATTGCTTTATTAAGTAATGTATAAAAATGAAGGTTTGGCCCTTGATTTACATGAATGTTAT